TAGTTTACTTAATAAAAAATTAAGTTTTAATATAAAACAATCATGTTGATCAATTTCCTTTTTAGTCTAATTTCGTATAAGTGTAACATTACACAAATTTGTGTAACCTTACTTATTTCAATAACTATTGCATAGAATTTTATGAATTTTTTTTATTTAAAAGCTATAGATTTAAGCAATTTTTTATATAAGTTTTAAGTTTATATCTTGCTTATTTAACTTAATATAAATTTTTGAAAAGTGTTCACAAACATATGGTAGGCTACTATATAACGCAAGAAATTTTGAAAATGCACAACACTTAAGACAATACATTAATCTGGTTACTAACAACAGATGTGACCAACTACTCACCAATCTATCAAAAATGATAAACAGCATACTCAATCGACATAAAGATACAGTATTTTAATAACATTAAAACCAATACAGACATCATCACTGAACCAAACAAAATTAAACAATATATATATTACTATTATGATGAATAGACAGCACATCATCCATACACAACACAATCTTTGATCAAGACTAGAAAACAGAATATCAATCCAAACCAGAAATACAAACAGCATGATATGACTCTGCACTAAAAAAGATCAGATAGATGAAGTTTTACAAATAATCAAACAATTACCTAATAATAACACATGTGGGCCATCTGGCATTAGTTACAAAATAATAAAACATATTGGACCTAATATGTTACATGCTATTACTACACTCCTTAACAGATGCATCAATATTCAAAATATTTCTAAACAATGGAAAAACAGTAGAATATATCCTATTTTCAAAAAACCTCAATTCAATAGCAATCTCAATAACACCAGACCAATTAGCCTAATTGAACACATTAAAAAACTCTATACTAAAATTCTTACAAACCGACTCACCAAAATCTTTACAATATATACAATACTCAATTTACATAACTATATTGCACTTCTTGGCAATTCAACAAACAATCCTATACATATTCTTAACAACTTTATAGAAGATGCTACATGTAACAAAAAACAGATATGGATACTTTCACAGGACATGAGCAAAGCTTATGATTCAGTCAATATACATCTCCTTGTTAAAGCTTTACAAAGACTCAAAATGCCCTCACAACTAACAAACATCTTACAAAACCTTCTACACAACTAACACAACCAAGTCATTACTAACTTTGAATTTACAATACCATACTTGGTAAAAGACGGTATTGATCAAGAAGAAACTATAACACCCTTACTCTGAAGAATTTATTATAATCCATTGATCATCTATATATATCATAAATACAAAGAATACATCTCTTCAGTTCAATGGCTTACACAACTTAATCCTAAAAAATTCTAAACCAAATCTACATCAATCTCTGTTTTGGCCTACATGAATGACACACTATGGCTCAGTTCATCTATAACCCAACTCCAACAAATAACCCAAACAGCTGCATCCCTCTACACAATGGCTCATATTAAAGTAAACCTACAAAAATCTACTTTAATCTCAAATATCAACACAATACCTCAAATTAACTTTATGAACCAGACTATTTATACACAACCTATATATATACCATTTAAATTTCTAGGCTGCTAGTTTACAGCCACTCTTAAATATAGTAAACAAATCAAACTTATCAAACAAAAGATATCAGAACTTAATGACATACTCAAAACTAAAAATATAACAGACAAACAAGCCACCTATATTATTAATAATATTATTATTCCAATTATTAAATATCGTATTCACAATATAGTAATTCCTAGAACTACCTGCAACTCTATATTATCTTCATATCTTACTACAGCCAAACACAAAGCTAAACTACCTATTATAACACCTAACAGTATTATGCTTAATCATAATATCTATAGAATCAAAAATATTTGGGACATTCAATTACAACACCACATCTCCAACTTTTTACTTAGAATAAATAACCAAAATCTTACAGGTACTAGTACATATATAAGACTGCAACAACTGCAAAACAACTTATAGTCAACTACCAACATTCTCCAATACCCGCAACTCCTAATCGATGGACCAAATAAAAATACCACCACCTACAAAATAATATTACTACTGAATCAACTTTAACTCAATATAAGCATATACTCAAACTCTGCACAAATCTACACACTTCAATATCTTTACACACCTATTGAATAATTTTTAAACACATACAAATTATATCTATCTTTTAAAAAACAACTATGTACAAAAAATATTATATATCTTAAACAGCTGATATTATATAACAATACAACTTTATTTAACTGGTTATATATTTCACCTTGGCTACAACAACTACCCAAAGACCGTAAACCATTATGATTCACAGTACTAGAAAATAACATTATCACAGACCAACAAACTAGATCAATCAATACTCAACTCTAAATACTAAGTATAAATATTCTATCCTTTAAGGGTAGACAGTATGTAGATCAATTTTCATATGATCAACACGTGATTTTAAAAATTTACCATAAAATTGAAAGTTGTTATTAATAAAACTTTTTCAAATTACAATAAATTTTTATCAAATTTTTATAATATATATATATAATTATTTATCTATTATGGTAAAATTTTGAACTATTATATCTTATAAAAAAAATATACTTTTATATGTAACAAAATTTTTCTGGGTGGACCTAAAATTTTCTGGGTGGCACAAAATTATCAATTCTGATTGGTCAATTTATGTAAAACTATAATATTAAAATTTTATATCTAATTTTTAAAACTTCATATCTTGCTGAGTTTTTAACCAATTTTAATAAATTTACTATCATTAGAATCAGAAAAACCTATTCTACAAATTGTAAATAATAGTTAAAATTAGTTTACTTAATAAAAGTTTTTATAAAATTAAATATAAAAAAAATTTGCCATTAAGTTTATATATAATTTTAAAAATATACCGTCTACCCTTAATAGGATAGATTACTAATTGTGTAACGATCTTCAAATTGATGAGACGGTCGCTCCTGGAGAGCGTATGTACGTACGTACGTAGTACGTCACACAGACCAAAGAAGTATTCCTATACAAATATTCTTTACAAACACGAAATCTATCTATATATATATATTTTTTTTTGTAATAATAGCTATGCCAGGTATTCCAGGTGAAATAACTACACCAGAATCAAATCAAGCTGTTCAGACAAAGGGTAAAGGAAAGGCCGCTGAAGAGGAAGTGAATGCCACGAAAAGTTCCTCATCAGCAAAGTTATCCACAAACGAATATCAATTGAAAGCGATTGAATGGGCTGGTTCAGTAGGTGGTGAACCCCGGAAGTTAAAGATCATCACTCAAAATGGTAAAGCTATTCTTTCTCTATCGTTATCTAGCTTGCCTCCTCTCATCGCATTTGCAAATTTTGTAGAAAATGGGCCGTGCCCTCTGTTAGCACTATGTATCCTATTTTTTGCTAAATGGTGACAGATCTATTTCTGCAATGTTTTATGTCTAAAGCGGATAATTACTTTTTGACTCTAGTAAATTTAATTAAATTTAGGCAATGTATTGATTTTACGTGGTTCTATCGAAATTAAACCATACGATCGTTCAACTGTAACTTATGATTACCTTGTGGAATTATTGGGTGATTACTTATTCAAATTAATTCCGGATAAAGAAGCTGAGGTAATTATCACTTTTAATAATCTAGTTAATCACGCTTTTATATTAATATTTAATTTTTCCACAAAGATTCAAAAAGGGTTGCTTCAATTGACAATTGACCAATCCTCACAAAAAGGTCAAAATCAACAAGCTCATTCTGCTGATCTCTTAAATGGAATCGACGAAAACAATCAAAAGACCGATAATGATTCTATCGCTCAAATTACTAACATTACTAACGCCACGAGACCATCTCTACAAGACTATCAACACACATTGAATGCCGCCATTTCAATTATTCCTATATTACAAACTGGCCTGGATGTAAACGTTCGATTCAATTCTATTCACGGTTTTGAACCTACCGCTGAACTTTCCGTATTTGACATCTTTGGTGTGGAATTAGTTCATGGTTGGGTGGTTGACCCTCAGGACGAAGAAACATGGAATGTTGTAGTCGGAAAGTGTGGAAGCTACAACAAAGCTGTTGAATGTGTTGTGGGCGGTGACTCTGTGAGTAAAGGTGTCGTTCTGGAGAGCTCAGATGGTGTTTCTAATATAGATTTTGATAAATCTGAGAGATCTGCTAATGCTATGGAAAATGTTAGAGTCAGAGATGGTAATATATTAAATTACTGAAAGAGAATATCGGATTTAATTTAACTGAACATTCTTATTGTCACTTGTACCTCCTTCATACTATTATTAAGCATTGATAACATCTCAATTTTTGGACGCTTCTAAAACTCAACTTACTTACCATGGATTGTCAACCTTATCTGAAGCTTTACCGCCAGGAAATCTTTGTATATTTTTCCGGAATAATCATGTGAGTTTCTGGTAATCTGTATCCTGAGATCTTGGTAACTGTTACCTTCACTTCATTGTATTTTGGATTAATATAATGGACATTAAAAAGATTTATAATTATATATTATTCATGCCATTAAAAATGGAAGTTTTCCACACTATATAAACACCCTCAAAATTCAACTCTATACATTCTAGTCACTGATGCCGGCTTCGTTAATGAACATTCAGTTGTATGGGAATCGCTTATTGACGTAGATCAAAGCGCTTCTGAATTCGTTAATGGTCAATTTCGTAAAGGCGAAATCAGTGGTGGTGATTACGTTGGTGTGACGGATAATGAAGCGCATGGGGGTGGAGATCAAGAGTAGGTACTTCTTTTATTTATTCATTTTAATCACAACTAATCGCTTTCTACATTTATCATTAGTTACGCACTTGCCTTAAGTCTCCAACAGCAAGAGGATGAACGTGAAACGGAATTCCGCAGAAAACAACAACAGCGCCAGGAAGATTTGCAACGACAACAAAGACGACAAAATCGCCCATATGATCAAACGTCTATTGGTAGCTCGATTGCAACAGAAACGTCTGAAAAGGAAAGAAGAAAAGATAGAGAGAAAAGAACTAGTTGCTTTATTTCATGAATTTGGAATGCACTTTCATCTTAAGCATTCCTATTTATTTTTGCTTAATATCTATTTATTGGATTAATTTTGGAAAGACGTTGAAAGTTTATTTGTTTATGTGGTAATACATGTAGAACTTGACAGAGTTATTTACGCTACCTTATATATATATGTATTAATTTGTTAGAAAGTATTCAAATTAAACAAATAAAAAAAAAAAAAGAACCAATTTTTTAATTCGTAATCGTAAATGCTGTTCTTGATGATAAGGTAAGAGGCATTGCCATTTATTGTATGATTTTTAACAAATATATTGAATCTTTGTATAGTTTCAATCTTAATTCTATTAAGAATATTTACTTTATTAAAGCAAAATACAACAACACTATATTCATAACAACCAAGTATTTTATAATAACAAAAAAATCAGAAGAAAAAAAAAGAAAAAAAACAATATTAATGAAAAATTTTATTTTTGAATATATAGAAGAAAGTTAAATCAAAAAACTGAAAGTAGCACTTGACTATAATGTAGAAGTATTAATAAAATAAAAAATAGTACAAAGTAGTTAACGCAAATTGAAAAAAATAAAAATATTGGTTGAACTGCTGTATAGGTGGGCAAATACAAAACATACTAAGAAAAATTCCCGGCGGATCTCCTGCAGTACAGGTGGGCAAGCTTTAACTACCAGTAACTCAAATAGCTTATTCGTTATAATTAAAGTTTAAGTAAAAACTACCAGAGTTTAAATTGAAGTTTAAATAAAAAGTATTTAAGTTTAAATCAAAGTTTAAGTGAAAATCACACTAAATTTAAATTGAAGTTTAAGTGAAGTATAAGTAAGTTTAAATCGAAGTTTGTTATTCCATAAACTGTTAACTTCAAATATCCTTCGATATAGATTATACCTGCAAGATAATTTAAGGGAGTATCAATACAAACTATAAATCATGTAGCTAAGTTATGGCTCAAATCTGTAGCTCAAGCCACAGCTCAAGCTATATATGACTCTAGAGTTGCATGAATATAGCGAAAGTAGTGTAAACATAGCTGTTAGAAAGTAAATATAGCTAAAGTTCAAAATGTATTTAAGAACCTAGAGTTTCAAGCAATGAAAGGGATGATTTTTTAGGTTTATTTTATGATTAAATGAAGAATACTATTCTATTTTTAAATAGTTGTTTTATTTTTGTCTAAATAAAGTATATACTTATCTAGATATTCCTTTGAATATTGTCTTTGAATTTGACTTGTAACTTTAATAATCCTTTTTGAAACTCAATTTAACAAATCTAATTGACTTGTAACTTTAATTTGGCTTATTGAGACTCAGATTCTAGACTGGTTGTAGAATCAGATATTGCTATTTATATTAGTAACCTGCAAGAATTGTGGTAGAGAATGTAACTTATAATTGGTTGTTTGATCTTGTTAATCTCATATCTTTAAAATTACTGTTGATATTACTTGATTATTGTCTGCTTTTATCACTATTTTTATTAAAATATCTCTAACAGTATTATTTGTAGTTATATCACTTTTATTAATATTAAAATTTTTGTTTTATAGTCTAATAAATCTCTAATTATTATAAATAATTTACTTTGTTTTTTTAAAATTAGCTTTATTTTCTGTATACTATTAAAATTAAATTGGTTTTTTATTTATATTATTATTTAAGCTTTCTTATCAATAGATCTTCTTTAGTATAGATAGATATATATAAATTATTACAAAATTATAATATATAAAACTTAACTAATTTGAGCTAATTTAAATTCTTTTTTTTTTGTAGTCAAGGTTAGCCTCTTTGGCTTCCTGCTTTTATTAGATATTAGGATCATGTGGTGCTCTTTTCAAGGGAGCTCCAGACAAGTACATTCTGATGAGGATATATTCTAGCCATACCTGTGCCTTTTGAGCACCTAATTAAGTATCTACCTATTGCTAGGTTTTATACTAAATATTGTACCTATAACCCACTATTACTTGAGTTATCTAATTAAACCCTCTGATCCGAGTTTCCTATGCCAATCCATTTAATCTCATCTGGAACATGCGATACGTAAGTTAGTCCAAGTTCCAGGATTATTGCATGCTATCTATAGGACTACTGGTATGGTTAATCGATTCATCCTCAAGAGCATCACCTGCTAGAGCAGTCTAGTACTCACTATTACCGTATTATCTAGTCTACTTCGGTAACTTATGTCTAGGCCGAAACCAAGTACTTGCGAGCTGAAGCTGCTACTATTACCTACTATGCCCTTATAGAGTTTATTCAGACCTCAGCACCCACTATACAAACTATCACCTGTATATCCGTTATTCTAAACTTCTAATTCAAATGGCCTGGAAGGGCTGTGACCTGCCCTTGGTTCTCTCGGTTAGGTCCTTTTCCTCTAGTTACTCTGGTGGCCTGGTTGGTGGAGTGTCTTGCCAAACACTTCAGTCCCGTTCGGTTTTTTGGTTTCCTGATTAATAATCCTTTATATAGTACTGTCGAAGATCTGTACTACCTCTCTACTCGGGTCTTGCCAAGCGGGCTTCCATATGTGCTGACCTCAGATTTACACGACTGTTTCACTTAGGTTTCATATAACTCGTACATTATACTATTGTTCCACAATCTCTTAGTATGAGCTGGTATAACCTAGTTACAGATGTCAATCTGGCCTTACACTCACAGTTGCTGTAATACTATACTGAAAATTTAAATTTTTTTGTCGCCAGTAGGATTCAAACTCTGTTCCTGCCACTTGGGGGTATGACAACTTCACTACTTCACTAAGTGGCCACACTCTGCTAATTTAAATTCTAACCTTAACTCTAATATTAATAATTTATAAAATTACTTAAATTAGTTCAAAATAGGTAATTATATAGTATATATTAGAATTATATAATAATTATATATAGGATCTTTGCTAAGAAGATGATCCTCTGAGGTTATGTTGATTTTGTGAATAAACATTAAATTTGTCAACCATTTAGTTATTCAATTTAAATGAATTTTTTTTATTTTGTAGGCTCTATTGAGATTTACAAAATAAAAAAAATTCATTTAAATTAAGTAACTAGATAGTTGGTAAATTTAATTTTTATTCATAAAATTAATATAGCTTCAGAAAGTTATTTTCCTAGCAAAGATCCCATTTGCCTATTTATACTAAAGATCAATCATCAAGGATTATAAAATATACTATAGATGTTGTTGGTGTTAATATGTTTTTGGTAAAAATTTAGAGTTAGGATGCAACTTTAGAGTAAGATAGAGATTAGATATAAAAGTCTAAATTTTAGTTAATATAAGGTTTTTGGAGGGTTCTAAATATTTGATGTTAGCTAGTATGTTTTTGAAATATATTAACTTTGGTGTTTAATACCTATAATGCATTTTAGTAAACCTAATAAATATAATAGAAAATACAATATATATTAAACTTTGGTTTATTATTAAAAATTAAAAGAGATATAAAATATTAATGGAATACTTAATATTAACCAATTTTTTATTTTTATTTTTTTAATATTAAGATAAAATTAAAACTTGAAAACTTTTTTTTACTGATTTTCTGTATACAAAATCAAGAAACAAAACATTAAAAAACATATAAGTGCTAGTAGAAACAAAATTTACAGCTTTAAGAAAAAAGAAAAAAATCTAAAAATAATACTTAGTCTTTTAAGAAACTAAAGTAAGAAAAGTAAAAGTGACAGAAATATAAAAAAAAAATATAAAAATTGTCAATTTTATTTTTTGCAAGTTGTTTGAGAAATTGGTTTTGATTCTATAATATAGATCAATTTTTATTATATAAAATATAAAACATGTAATAAAGAATAAATAAAGAAAATATATTAAGAACTATGTAATAATTAAAAAAAAGAAAATATACAAATATAACAATTAAATAATTATGTTTAGTAAACAATAACAGAAGATTCTAGAAAAGAGTCGATTATAGCAGAATATACAAAAGCACAAATAAAAGCATTTTATAAAAAATTAAGACAGTATAGAGCTGAAAAAATCAAGTATATAAAACTTGTACTTAGAAAAAAATAATACAAAATATTAAGAAACAATACAGTAGAAAACTAATTTAGCTAAATATATTATTTATAGAAAATAAGCAGAACTATAAAAAATCTATATATAATAAAAAGAGCAAGATAAACAGTATATAATAAAGAAAAACAAGCTGTTAAGTATATAAAGTCTAAATTACTATAATTTTTAAAAGCTGCAGCTCTTGTTATACTGAATTAATATTAAATTTTAAAATTTTTAATTTCATTATATTCAGAGTTCATTATAAAAAGGTTTATTATATCCAGAGTTAACTATATACTATTGCTTATATAGAAATTTTATAAAAATTTTATATAGTTGATCAATCATTTTTAGTGATATTTTGGCAACTACTAAACTAATTTTGATAATCTTATTACTATTAGATTTATCTCGATGAGTTCAACAATTGTCTTTTAAATAAGAAAAGTGATTAACTTAGTAAGAAAAAAATTTTTCTTAGATGACTACCAGATTCTAAATATATATAATTTATATAGTAATTTATATCATATTCTACTAAGGTTATTCTCGTGTTGAGTAGCAAATTATCAATTAATATTTTTTAGATCTTTGCTAAATATTTTTAATCCTGTAAACCTTGGAATTCTTGTTAAATGTTGATCAAGTTCATTAATAGTATTTTGTTTATATAATTCTTTTAATATCTTTCTTGTATATATTATTTGATATTTGAACAGCTCTAAGTCCAGGTAATGCATTTTATCTAAAACTGTGACTAAGTAAATATTTAGTTGGATAAGATAAAATATTAAAAAAAAATCAAATAAAAATAATATACTGTATATATATTATTAGTAAAAAATAAAAAATTTAATATATAAATAGTATTATCAACAATTCATATACAACTCTCCCCAACAATTACTCAGACCAAACTTATGGCTAATGAAAACAGAAACTTGTTGGAGAAAAGTA